TGGGAGTGTAGACTGGTGCAACCACTGTGGAAATCTGTATGGAGATACCTCAAAGAACTAGGACTGGAAGTCCCATTTGACCCAGCTATTCCCCTTCTGAGTTTCTTCCCCAAAGAATTAAAAGAATCATACCACAGTGACATATGTGCACCCATGTACATAGCAGCACAGTTTGTAATAGATAAAACTTGGAAGCAGCCCAAATGCCCATCAATTGGAGACTGGATAAAGAAAGTGTGATTTTTAAAAAATAAAATGGAGTACTACTTAGCCATAAAAAATGAAAAATTAGAAACATTTATAGCTAAGTGGATACACATTGAGGCAATACTCAAGTGAAATAAATAGGACACGTGTAAATACTGAATAGTTTCTCTGGTGTGAGAAACTGAAAGTGTAAATGAGTAAATGGTATAATAGATAATGTGAAATAGGAAGATAAGGGAAAGGGGAAGGGGAAGTGGGAGGGTAGGGGAAAGGAAAGAAGGGAATGGAATTAATATAAAAAAATGGAAACCAAGTCTTTGTAAATAGGGAGGAATGGAGGGGTTGAAGGGAGGGCAGGGGCAGGGGGAAAGAATAATAACCAAAAGAGATTATACAAAGGTGCAAATTTCCAATGATGAGTGTCATTATATTGTATACCTAAAATGTGCCAGTAAAATAAAATTTAAAAATATATATATCTGGAATCTCTAGTGTATCTCTCCCAGCTCTGTTATGTCCATTTTCCCTGACAGGGAATCCAGCATGTACCAGACCTCCCATTTTGTCTAATAATTTATCTTTTTCTTTTTTTAACCTTCCCCAAGAGAAGCATTGTTCTCTTCTATTACAAGGATTCCGGCCAGACAGTGATTAACAGTTGGCTTTCTAAGTTGGACTGACTTAAACTCCATCCTTGGCTCTACCACTCATTGGGTATATAATCATTTGATAAATAAGGAAACTAAGGCTGAGGCCTTTTTATAAACTTATGGTATTAATACACTTAAGATGGCTGATATGTGGAATGAGTACCCAATTAATATATGTTAGTGATCATTGTTATTATTCTGATCCATAAAAATTAGCTTTTTTAATATCCTTGAACTGAGTGAAATTATTTAAGAACCCTGAAATAATACTTATATTTTGTCAAAGCAAACTAAGTGTGTACATGCAGTAGGGAAGGCAGAACACAGACCCATTCTTCTGGCTTCTGATTTGAGAGATGATTTTAATAACATGACAACTGAAATGATTTTTTTAAAAAATGCAACATCTGTTTTAAGCTGCAGCGTGCTATCCAGGAGTACCCTGTTGTCCTGCTGCCCAGCCATCGCAGTTACATTGATTTCCTGATGCTGTCCTTCCTTCTGTTCAGCTATGATCTGCCTGTGCCTGTGATAGCAGCAGGGATGGGTACGTACTGCTCTTCTGCTTTTATGACTGTATATCCTGAAATCCTCACTGCTGCTGCTCAGACTCTGCTGTGGTGGTTGAAGATGATGTTGGAAACAGCCCCTCATCTTCCACAATGGTCTGAGTAGGGCACATCAGTGCTTCACTTCCTGAAGTGTCTAGGCGGCTGGAGACAGGCATAGAGCACATAGGTTTGAAAAATGAGACTGCTACCCATGTATATTTCCTGCCCTTTGATTTAGGTAGGGACATAGCTATCACTAGGTAATCTCAATTTTTAAAATATAGTTTTATTGTGGTAAATACATATAACTACAATTTATCTTTTTTTTTCCACAGTACTAGGTATTGTGTGTATTGAACCCACAGTCTTCTCACTGAGCTACATCTGCAGCCCTTTAATTTTTTTTTTTTTTTTTTTTGACACAGGGTCTTGCTAAGTAACTAAGTTGCCCAGGCTGAGCTCAAACTTGCAGTCTTCCTGCTTCAGCCTCCTAGAATACTGAGATCACCTACGTACATCATTACGTAAATTTTATCTGGCTTAAATTTTACCATCCTAGCCATTGTTAAGTGTATATATATGTGTAGTTCATTATTATTAAGTACATTCATATTGCTATGCAGCCATCACTTTATCCCTAAAACTCTGTTCATCTCACAAAACTGAAACTCTGCCTATTAAACAGTATCTTCCCACTCTCTTCTTCCCCCTGCCCCAGGCACCCACTGTTCTGTCTCTGTGAATTTGACTGCATGACATACTTCATATAAGCATCTATAGAATCACCAGCATTTGTCCTTTTGTGACTTGTGTATTTCACTGAGTAGAATGTCTTTAAGGTTCCTCCATGTAGTGTGTGTTAAATATCCCATTCCATGGATGGACCATATAATGTTTATCCAATCATCCATTAGATACTAGGATTGCTTCTGGGTTTTGGCTATTACAGATAACCCTGCTGTGAACCTGGAAGTACACATACCTATTCAAGACCCTACTTTCAGTATTTTTAGGTATATACAAAAGAACAAAACTGTTGGATCTCATCGTAACTGTATTTTTACTTTTTGGAAGAACCATTGCTTTTCCCACAGCAACTACAGTTTTACATTCCCACCAACAGCTCACCAGTGTTTGAATTTCTTTGCCTCCTTGCCAACACTTGTTACTTTATGTTCTTCTCTTAAAAAAAAAAAAAAAGCCATTCTAATGTATGTGACGTGTTATATCATTGTACTTTTGATTTGTATTTCCCTGACGATTAGTGATACTGAGCATCATTTTGGTGGTTTTTGGCCATTCATGTGTCTTCTTTAGACAAGTGTCTATTCAAGTCCATTGTCCATTTTTAAATTACATTGTTTAGTATTCTTGTTGTTGAGTTGTGGATTTCTTCATATTTTGTGGATATGTACCCCTTACCAGATAAATGATTTGCAAATATTGCCATCCCATGGGAGTAGTAGGAGGTAACCTCCCAGCAGGTGCTTGGCCCACAGAGTCCCTTCTTTTCCATAATTCTATTGTGTATCTCTTTTTATGGATTTAATCTCAGGAAGTATAACTATTAAAAATGTAGAGGTCGTCTCACATACATGAAATGTTCTTAATAATTTTCAATCTTTATGGAACGTCTCAGTGTCTACAAATAAACATTAAGCCTTGTTTTGTTTTAGACTTCCTGGGGATGAAGGTTATTGGGGAGCTGCTGAGGATGTCGGGTGCCTTCTTCATGCGTCGTACCTTTGGGGGCGATAAACTCTACTGGGCCGTGTTCTCCGAATATGTGAAGACTATGTTGCGGGTAATTACCAAGTACTTTTAAGCTATATTTGCTTTCTACTGAGGTTTACCTATTTAAATTCTGAACTTCTGAATAGACTACTTAGTTTTTCCACCTCGAGAAATATTCCAAACCTCAGCAGTGTAGTGAATCTGTGTGACTCTCTTGTTTAAGTCTCACTGTGAGCTGCATCTTTTCAGAGGACGGGGAGGGTGGTTATAAAAAAAAAAGCAAAAGAAGCATTTCTGGGGCGGCAGCTCAATTGTGGAGCACTTGCCTTACATGTGTCAGGCTAGGTCACAGCCCCAGCACCAGAAAAGAAAGCATGTGCCATTTTGAGTGGAGGCAATGTTTTGTGTTTTGTTTCTGTTTTCTCTTTAAAGAATGGTTATGCTCCTGTTGAATTTTTCCTCGAAGGGACAAGGAGCCGCTCTGCCAAGACATTGACTCCTAAATTGGGTAGGTTACTTTCAAATTGGAAAGAAAAATAGAAACCCAAAGACTGAGTATGGTGTCATTCTAGCTGCTAAATAGAACTGGATACTTTTTTTTTTTTTTTTACAAGATATTCTTTTCTTTGTAAGTATAACTTTCTTAAAGGGTAACTTTATGGGTTTAGGATATGATACATACTTTTGATATCTTTCTACTAATGTGCCCTTATGTGCTCTGTCTGCTCTTTGATGTGTATGATAAAACGTTTCTCCCTGTGTTTACAGGTCTCCTGAATATTGTGATGGAACCATTTTTTAAAAGAGAAGTTTTTGATACCTACCTTGTCCCAATTAGCATCAGTTATGATAAAGTATTGGAAGAAACTCTTTATGCCTGTGAGCTTCTAGGAGTTCCTAAGCCAAAAGAATCCACAACTGTACGTGAGGATAGCCAGACTTGATTTTCTTTGAGTGTAGAGAATATCTTAACTTACACTTCAGCTAACTTACAAATGTACTCCTTTTTGTATTTTTCCCCCTGTTGTGATACTAGGGATTGTTGAAAGCCAGAAGGATTCTCTCTGAACACTTTGGAAGCATCCATGTATACTTTGGAGACCCTATATCACTTCGATCTCTGGCAGCGGGGAGGATGAGTCGGAGCCCATATAACTTGGGTCCAAGGTGCAAGGCCTATGTTATAATACCCAACACAGAAATGGATTAAAACCTAAAAGTGCGAATTGTGACTGTTGAGTTGACAGATCTAAAGTTGAACCTTCCTTACCTGAGATCACACAGCACATTGTCAGGGAAGCTGTATCATTTCATTTTCAGCAGTAGAACGCTTCAGTGAAAGAAGAACTGTGTGGGCCAGATGTGGTGGTACAGACATAATCCCAGCACTCAGGAGGCTGAGGCAGGAGGATCATAAGTTGGAGGCCAGCCCAGGCTACATAGTGAGATGTCTTGAAAAAATAAAACAACCCAAAACAACACACATACACACACACACACACACACACACACAAACTGAGGAACTGTGTTTGCAAAAAATAAAAAATTGATTAGATGTAGGATATGTATGTCAATAAGCAAAGTCAGACAATGACCATCCTCCTTAAAGGAACTAATTTAACAGTGGGAAGAAATAATTCCATTATTAACAAGTACATGTCCAGGAATGGTTGAGCACTGCTGTAGGCCAACTAGTGTCCTGAGTACTGCTCTGCTCTGCTCTGCTCTTCTCTTTCTCTCTTTTCACTATAGTTCAGGCTTGTCTTGAACTCACTGTGTAGCCAGGGTGGGCTTGGACTTGGGTAATCTTCTTGCCTCAGCCTCCCGAGTGCTGAGATCACAGGTATGTGCCACCACACCCAGTTCTGAGTACTGTTTTTGATCACAGAACGCAGTACGTAATGATAAGGAATGGGACTGAGTACCTGCTCATGAGAAAATATATTAGGTCTGCTCAGGATGCAGGGTACAGATACACAGATGCATTTGAGTTTTCTTGTTTTAGAGAGGCACACTGGGGAAGTAAGGGAGAAAAACAGTTGGCCAGAGCCTGCGTGTGGCAGTGTTGTCCTGATTCACCTGTAGCTCTCATGGCTGTCTGACAGCAGTGTGCCTCACTAATGGCCTCCTTTCCTCTCTCAGAGGTAGGTGTTGGCTTTCTACCGCCACAGGCTGTCTCTAAATGTCACTTTGCCTTGGCCAAGTACCCTAGTGTAAGGCACCCACATCAGCAGTTTTTGCATCAAGCTGCCTTCTTGGGTAGCTGCTTTTGGGTCCTTTGTGTCTACCTTCTGAGCTGATGACCCATTCATGCAATGCTGTCAGATGGGTGCGTTGGTCTTTGGCAGGTGCTCTGAAGCCTCTGAAGGGGGCAGCATGCTGGGCAGCTGTGCGGTCTGTCCATTGCAGCGTCACTGTTAAGTGCAGCCTCAAGTAGAGACCGTGTTCCACACTAGAATTCTGGACAGTCATTGGTTGTCCTGGGGGAGACACAGATGGGGTATGACCTATTTATAAAGCAACAAGTTTTTACTCAGAGGTGGGAATTAACAGTATTTCTTTCCACATCTCCAGAGCATTCCCTGGAAGTATGTGAACAGGTTACACAGTCGTGAGGCAAGGGAACCCCTGCGTGTGGCCTGAGAGCTTCTGGTTGGCAGAGACATGAAAAGCCTTTTAGGGCCTATCTCCTGCCCAGCATGTGGTTGGCAGAGGAGTCATTTGTGCTTCTGTGCTCTTCCTTTCAGATATGTCCCGCAGAAACCATCTGAGGAAATGCACTCCTTTGTCACTGAAGTTGCCTACAGAATGCAGCTTCTGCAAATTGAAAACCTTATCCTGAGCCCGTGGGTCCTGATAGTAGCTGTTCTGCTTCAGAACCGCTCATCCATGGACTTTGACACCTTGGTGGAGAAGACCCTGTGGCTGAAGGCCTTGACCCAGGCATTTGGCGGGTTCCTGTGGTGGCCGGGTATGTAGGTGGATGTGGGCAACATGCAGGCCTGCCTTTTCACCTCTAAATCTGAGAACATTGTGCAAAACCTAAATTAGACTTGAGCAAAGCATTGTTCACAGAGGAAGGACGTTCATCTGCTTTTATCACTGGTAGGCGTGGAACCCTTCGTGTTGATGATTTGAGAAAAATTGTTTATAAATCATTTCTCCTCTTGAGATTAAACACCTTGAGGAGGAAGCTGCTATCTCATAGGAACGTAGCAGATTGAAGAATAACAACACGAATCCTTCCCTGCATGCCCACCCCTTTTTAAACCATGTTACATTTGCAGCCTATTTGCCTCACTGGGGAGAAAGGATTAAATGGTTGGTCTTAGAGATTTATACACATCTCTGATGATAACAACTTGGTAAAAACCTTGTCAGAATCATGAATACTGCGCTTGGAATTTTTTCTAGGAATATGACAGTACTGCAGTGCTTGGAATATGACAGTAACTAGCTTAAGTTGTTTTCAATCTCTGATTTAAAACAATATAGGCTCTAGTTGGAAATGCATGTTTTTTAAAACTAGATAATGAGCCGGGTATGGTGGTACATGTCTCTAATCCCAGCACTCGGGAGGCAGAGACAGGAGAATTGCCGTGAGTTCAAGGCTAGCCTGGGCTGCATGTGAGTTCAAGTCCAGTCTGAACTACAAAGTGAAACCCTGTCTCAAAAATAAAAAAAGACTAGATAATGACTTATAATCAAGCATTTACTGTTTGTTCATCAAGCCTACACAAACACCTCTCTGAACTGGGTCTTGCCAGGATGCAGAGGCATACAACATGGGATTCCTGTTCCCACGTGTGCATAGAGAATGGGTCTGGGATTTCCTGAGAACACTGTGGGCTAAGGGCCCATACTCAGAAAGATTTCAGAACTGACTTTGACCCCATCTCAATGGAAAAGAAGCTCTTTAGGAAGATGGAGGAGTGAATTCTGCTTCATGCAGGGATTAGTAAGTAAGAGATGGTGGGAGAGCACCAGGTATTCTGTGCCTTGCAGGTGGTATGGGGGCATAGGAGGATAGAACCAAAGGATGTGGACATCAGCTGGATTGCACAGGCCTTGGATCTGGGCTGAAATGTGTAGTTTAGGGGAACCGATGATGTATTTTAATCAGGAAGAAACCATGTTATGTGTCCTTAGAAATTTAATATGTGAAATGGTGCTGTTAAAATGTTCTTCATGGGGCTGGGGGCATAACTCAGTGGTAGAGCACTTACCTAGCTTGTATGAGGTCCTGGGCTCAATCCCCAGTATTGCCAAAACATAAAAGAAAACAAAAATAAAATGTCCTTCATGTATAGTATCCTGACTCAGTTGGTAGAGACCAATACTGTAGGGAACAGGGGAAGGGGACGTTACCAGAACCTCTGCAGTGAGTCCTACTCTCCTGCGAGCCACGGCAGCGCATGGCGAATTACAGGAAAGGTAGAAAAATGAGACTGAGAAGAAGCTGAGCTTTGGGTCTGATCAGTGCTGCTCTGGGCAGCAAAGACAAAGACCCCCTCGCTTGTAGCACCTTTTATTCAGTACATGGGGAAACCGGTTTTACCAGTTGAAATGCAGAGTTCAGTACTTCACATTGGGATAAACAAGGTGTAACAAAAGACTGGGGGGCAGTGGAAATCTAAGAACGATGAGGAACTCTGCAGATGAAGATTTGGTTCCTCCCTGGCATCTCCTGCAGATGTGGTCTTGTCCTGGAGCATTACTGAGGTCTCAGTTGTGACCCAAGGCCAAAATGCAATTATGCCTGGAATGTCATGGCTGGCCTGTAGGCAGGAGAACTAGGCCTACTCAAATGATTTTTCCCTAGAATTATGTAGCATTGCTCCCAACACAATACCCTACAGAGACCTGTCTCATTCAAATGTACTGTCTTTGTGTGCAGATAATGAACCTGCTGAAGAAGTTGTCCAATCCAGCATTCTTCTGCATTCCAACCTTGCCAGCCTTGTCAAAGACCAAGTAATTCTGAAAGTGGACTCTGGAGACTCAGAAGTGGTCAATGGACTTGTTTTCCAGCACATCACTCTCCTTATGTGCTCAGCTTATAGGAACCAGTTGCTCAACATCTTTGTCCGTCCTTCCTTAGTAGCTTTAGCCTTGCAGATGACACCTGGGTTCAGGAAAGGTAACTTTCAGGAATGTGACCTTGAATTTCAGAAGAAGCCTGGCTTTTCAGTTCCATGAAAGGAGCAGTGTTTGCAGTCCCATAATGTGCAGCCACATCTGTGCAGCCTACATACCAGCAAAGAATGGAACTTTTACACTCAGAAGAAGTTAGGTTTGTTGCCTAAATACATGGCCATCTGCTTAGAGTTTTAGAATTGCAGAGTGCTATGGCCCGTGCCTGTAGTCCCACCTACTTGAAGGCTAAGGTGGGAGAATCTCTTGAGCCCAGAGTTCCAGGCCAGCCTGGGCAACATAGCAAGACCCTATCTCAAATTTAAGAACAATTTTAGAATTGTAAGAACCTAGATTCTCTAAACCTCTCCTTTTAGGAAGGGCACAAAGAGTTGTGTAATTCTCAGAGAAAGTCCTGGCATGTGAGCACAGTTGCCCATTTCCTGGTCAGACACTTTCTGCTATAACAGCACTTCATCCACAGAGTTAACCGGGGGCCAGCACCCCAGCAGAACACCAGTACTCCTGTACTCCTGTCATACAGTGGAGTTCTGGTCCCATGGAGTGGGAATGAGTGAAGCACAGTTTTTGCCAGCAGGGGCCTGTAGTCAAGGCCAGGAGTTCCTACCCAGGCCTGCATTACAATCACTGGACTGGGCCCCACCTCAGAGTTCTCCTTCAGTTGGACTAGATTGAGGGCCACACCTTGGTGTTTTGATTTTCAAAGCTCCACGGGTGACTCTTAAGAAAAAGTGCTAAAAATATAGTTAAAGCCGTAAGAAATAAGAATATAGAGGGAAACCAGGAAATCAGTTCCTTCCCTTTTCTTCTGGGAGCCTTGATGTAAGGGAAAGGGAAGCCCTGGGCTTCTGAGGACTGGTGTCTTGCTCATTACCAGGCTGACTGACAAGAGGGCTGCTTGTAATGTAGATTCAACCTTCAAACAATGCTAGGTTGCAGTTTGCTCTGTAGGTCATATTTGAATTGACTTTTTTTTTTTTTTTTGGTTTTTTGAAACAGGGTTTCACTGTGTGGTTCAGGCTGGCCTTGAACCCACTATGTAGCCCAGGCTGGCCTCAAACTTGCAGCAGTCTTCCTGTCTCAGCCTCCTGAGTGCTGGGATTACAGGCATGCATCACCACTCTTGACTCAAATTGATCTTAGTAATTCCGATACTCCAGGAAGCTAAGGCAAAAAGATTGCAAGTTCGACCTCAGTCTGGGTGACTTAGTATGATCCTGTCTCAAAGCAAAAAAAAAAAAAAACTGTATAGGGGTGAAGTTCACTGCAAAGGCCCTGGGTTCAATCTCCAGCACCATTTAAAAAAAAAAAAAAAAAGTTTTTGATGACTACATTTTAGGTTTCATGAACTCCCTGGTACTCCTTGAAAGTTTAAAAAGCTATATTGTAATGTTATGTAATGAATTTATTTTCAGAGGATGTCTACAGTTGCTTTCGCTTCCTATGCAGTGTCTTCTCAGATGAGTTCATCTTCCTTCCAGGAAACACACTAAGGGTGAGTCCTGACCACACAGGGAAGTGGGCCACTCTGTGCATTCTGGAAATTAGGGATTATTTAGGAATCATTTGGTGAGAGGTCACTTTTCAAACCCCCAGCACAACTACTGTAAAGAAACTACAGCTGTTTTAATAAAAATCAGTACTTTCTTGTTAACAGCACACTGGAACATGTCAGCCAGGCAGGTGCCTTTGACTGGTCCTACCCACAGTGTGGCCTACTAAGGGGTGTGCAGGCTCCTCAACCCAGTGTGCTGCTGGGCTGTTGGGGCAGGCAGTGGCAGAATAGACAGAAAGTGGTACAGGATTTTGTGTGCTGTGTTAGGGAGAGCAGGTTTTATTTTATCCCGTGAGGAGTGAGGATAGTTTGCCAAAGGTTCTTGAGCAAAAGCACAATCCTCAATGTCTTTAGGACTGTTGTGTACACTTCCTATTTAAATTTAAGGTGCATGTCAATGTGGAGTGAAAGTTCATCACACATGTTGTGGTTTCATAAATGTTTTATGTTTAAGGCTCGGCATTTTGAATGTTACAGTGTTGCAACAGACACTTCTCTGGCTTCAGTAAGCAGCCAGATAGGAGTCATGGGATTAGCTGGCGTTCTCAGGTGGGGGCTGCATGTATTGAGATCAGCATGTGCCTGTGAATCCAAATTTGTGGGTATGTCATGCTTCCCCTCTTTCCTTCCAGGACTTTGAAGAAGGCTGTTACCTGCTTTGTAAAAGTGAGACCATACAGGTGACCATGAAGGACATCCTTGTTACAGAGAAAGGAAATGGTGTGTTAGAATTTCTAGTAGGACTTTTTAAACCTTTTGTGGAATGTTACCAGGTATGAAAATTTGGCAAGTTATCCTTTGTGCCCTCTATATCAAATGTGTTAATAAGACTTTCCACCCTGTGCTTATTTCTGGTCTGAAGGGGAAGTATCTACTCCAGGTGAATGGTGAAACTAGTTTGATGAATACCGTGAATGATTTCACCTCTTAAGTGTACAAAGGAAGAGGTTTGATCCTTCACAGACCCAGGAGAATAACAGCTAGTAAGGCCTTGAAGGAGTATTCATGTAACCAGGTACAGGGAAACACTTGTTACACTGTCTTAGGTCTCTCCTTCTTAGTATGTAGCAAATTTGCTATAGAGTAGGCATATATATAGTCATATGTCTTTATTATTTATATATTATTTATGTTACTAAGTTCCAATGTTGAAAAAGAAAGAAAAAGTTCAAAAAAAAAAAAGGAAAAAAAAGAAAAAGTTCAAATGTAAGTATCATAAGAGCTTGGCAGAGCTCTGAGGAGTAGGTACAGAAAGGGAATGATGGATATGCCCAGCAGGATTTCATGCCAGGACTCAGAGGGAGGGCAGGAATTTGAATGTAAACTGTGGGAGCCACATACATTGGTGTGAAGAGAACTCTGTGTTTCTCCCTTCCATCTGTGTGCACATTGGCTGTGGGCAGTGGATCAGCCTCGTGACACAGTGACACTTCTGGCCCATGAGATGACCCCTCCTTGCATAAAGTCTGTCACTCAGTAGACACTTGATAAATGTTAGTTCTACATTTAATCACCTTTCTTAGTGGAAATTGCCCAGTGTTTTAGGGCTTAGTGCTTTATTAGGTATATTTAGAGGAAAAGACCAAATTATAAACATCAACCTCCTCACTTCTCAAGTAGCGTAAGATGTATGAAGCTGCTCTCATATTAGCTTATACCCGAGAAAGATGAGCAACTTTAATATAATAAGTGTTGCTATTATTTAAAACTTTTTTTCTAATTTAAAAAGTAATAAAAACTCAAAAAGATGTCTTTAAAATTCTGCAGCTTTTCTCTGCTCAAACCTTGCAGGGTCTGCATTCTGTTCCATTATGATATGTTAGGTTTTTTAAGAGGGCAATATAAAGTTATTTGCTATTCTCTTATATTTGGCCACCTTTTTTTCTTCTCTGTTCTTCTCATCCTTTTTTAAAAAATCAGATAATTTGCAAATACCTCTTGCATGAAGAAGAGGACCACTTCACTGAGAAATACTACTTGGCTGCAGTTAGAAAATTCACAGATCAGCTTCTTGATCAAGGTCAGTCATGCCTCTGTTGGTGGTGATTTTTTTCTGTTGAGAACAAAAATGATCCCTTAATTCTTCCTCCCCCACTTCAGGTACCTCTCAGTGTTACGATGTTTTATCTTCAGATGTGCAGAAAAATGCCTTGGCTGCTTTCGTGAGACTCAATGTGGTGGAGAAGAAAAAGATGTAAGTACGATGGAGGACCCACAGGTGCTGACAGGGCAAGGACAGTAGGTGACACTGGAGCACAAAATCCAGAGGGATGTGGGGACAGACCCTTGGGACAGGCCGTGCTATCTATGCTTTACCTCCTTGTCTCCTGGTGTGTTAGTCAATGTCATCACCCTGGACCCCTTGGACAGTTACGAATGAAAATGAAACCAAAGCAAGGAAGAAAGTATGATAGGCCAATGACTTAGCTTTTATCTAATACTGAAATGTATAGATTAATTACGGGGAAGATTTTTGAGAAATGTGCGTGTGTGTGTGTGTGTGTGTGTATGTGCGCGCGTGTGTGTATATACAAACAGATGTTTTCCTAATTGAGTGAATGTAACCATGATAAAACTTACTGTGTAGACTTGTGCAGCAATAGGCCTTGTGTGGTCATAGGCATGCAAGACCTTTTACCCATTTCAGGGTAGCTGGAGAAAGACTATGTGCAAGGAGCTCGCTGAGGTGTATGCAGTCAGGAACAAAAAACAGTATTGAAAAGCTGTCTTTTGACCCTGGTTTATGCAGTAACAAAGCTTGTTGTTCTTTCCTCCAGAAATAATGACTACATATACAGTGTGAATGAACCTGCCATGAGCAAATTAGAAGAGATGCTTGGTAAGTGTGTGGCTTAATAAAATATGATGAGTTTTCACCTATGTTTATTAGTATGTATTAAAATGGGAAAGCAAACTCTGGCACTAAATACTTTATCAATACAAGCAATAGAGTTCTGATATAAACAAGACTATTAATATAGTCTAGAGGGCCGGGCATTTAGCTCAGTGGTTCTGCCATCTGGCTCACAAGCACAAGGACCCAAGTTTGATCCCCAGTACCAAAAAAAAAAAAAAAAAAAAAAACAGAACAAAACAAAAAAATATATATAGTCTAGAATTTCCTGAAGGAACTGGATAGAAACTGCAAGGAAAATTAAACAAGAAGCCCAAAGCAGCCAGTGTGCTGCAAAACAGAGGTTCACTTCCAGGCTTCACTGATGGGAGCCAGACCCTTCCCTCCAGTCATGGTGCAGACGCCTCTCATTCTGCTCCTGATTCCTGCCCTTGTTGCCATTCTTGGGTCCTTTCTCTTCCAGGTGAGGAGTTGGAGTCAGAGTTGTATCACACAGCCTTTCTGAACTCAGAATTAGGGGTGACAGCACATCCTTGGGAGAATAGTTTAACCTTCACTCTTCTCTAGACCCTGTCAGCCTGTAAGAAATCAGTCACCCCAGCAAAGGCAAGGTATTTGTTTTGTGTACATGGGAGTCAAGAGCCTTGACATGAATGGAGAGATGAATGGTCAGAAGTCAAGAACACTTCTTGTAGGAGTGATGGGGCCATTTTAGAAGAGGAGATGTTAATATTTAAAACAAATGATTATCTATTGATTATATTGAATAAGCACTATATCATTAAGAGGATATTCTTACAATTAATATTTTTGCACCTGAACTTAATTCAGGACATTTATCAAAGCTTCATGGATGAGCTGTGAGTAGGTAGGTGTCTGCAAGGGTTGGGAAAACCAGAACTGGGAATATGGAGGAAGAATGGTCAAAGAGGAAGGCCAGAAGGGCAGTTGCACCACTGATATGGACAGGAGAGATGAAGTACAAGACTTTGTGAAAGACAGTGTGTAAGTCAAAATCCCAGCTTTCCATTTATATCATGCCTGAAATCTGAGTGTGTAACCTAAAAATTCAACTTCAGATTTGGAAGGGAGGGGCATATAGCTAAACAGTGTCATTCAGCAAGGGTGACAGAATTAGCTTTTCCATGGCTGGAAGCAGATGTGAGTATGAATGTACTAGAACACACTAGACTTCAGGTCCCGAAGCACAACAGCAGTTGGCTCCTGGTTCTGCCTTGCCAGTCCTATGATGGGCATACCATTACCTCTGGGCATCTGCTGTCTTTCTCCATGGTGGACTGGTGTGCCCGCTGGTGCTGATCAGCCTGCAAAGCTCTGCAAAGCATTGATGTCCTTCGTGGGCTGTTGCTTAAGAGTTGCACAAGGAAGGACAAAATCAGTGTCATTTCTTGAGCTGTCTCTTTGTTTGTCTTAGGTTGTAAAACACCAATAGGAAAACCGGCCACTGCAAAACTTTAATAATCACCAAGCAGTTATGGAAAATTTGGATACATAATTACTGTTACAAAGGACTCACTGCTTCAAACAGGGACATAATGGAAGAGACACATCTTGTGCTCTGCAAGACTTTGTGATCTGCAGACTGAGTGGAGGAATCGATTGGTGTGAGCCATCAGGGTAATCTTCGAACCATGACAGTTAATGGTGTTTGTGTCCACTCTGTGTGTGTTTTAAAATAAAACAGTCTTTTGAAAATGTGTTTGGAAAAGCAGTTTCCATTTCACTAATACTTTTCAACTTCTTACATGTTTTTTGTTTGTTTGTTTGTTTGTTTGTTTTTGGTACCAGGGATGGAACTCGAGTCCTTACGTTTGCAAGGCAGTCAGTAGAACCACTGAGCTAAATCCCCGCCCCTCTGGCCCCTCTTGCGTTGTTTTGAACTTTTGTGCTGACTACTGTGAAAAAGCACATTGACACTAGACGCTCCTACTATTCAAGGAGAAGTAAGCTGGCGCAGTGGTGCACGCCTATAATCCCAGCACTGAGGCGGGAGGATTCCAAGTTCGCTGCACTAACAGTACTGTATAAACGTAGCTTTAGGCTGTGTGTAGAAGGTTTATATGGAGCAAGGTGTATATGTTCATACTTGTGTTGGTCAGCTTGATGATATCTCATTATGGATATGCAGATATTTGAAAACCTAAAAAATATCAAAAATCAAAAGCAGTTTTGGTCCCAAGCATTTCAGATAAGGAACACTCAACCTGTATTTTATTTGTTGTTGTGGCTTTGTTTTGGTACTGGGGATCGAACTCAGGACCTTGTGCTTGTGAGGCAGGCTCTAGAACCACTGAGCTAAATCCCCAGCAAGTAGTTTTCAGAATTTGTTTGTTTGTTTTTTTCTTGGTACCAGGCATCAAACGGGTCCTTGCGCTTTCATTGCGCTTTCAAGATCGCAGCGTAACCACTGAGCTAAATCCCCAGCCCTCAACCTGTATTTTACATTCTTACCATTCTTGCTTTAATTAAAGTAATCTTAAGGACAAGTCTCACCCACATATGTAATAAGCTTTAAATTTTGCCATCCAGTGGCCTTCAGTTAACAAAATTGAATTAGTCAAAATATGTGCAACAGAAATGCTATATGACTTATTGTAAATGTGGGAAACACTCAGGGAAGAGAACACTGGGACCTGGCAGTGAGCCACTTGACATGGAAACCAAGTACTGAATTGAGCAAAATGGGGTATGCAAAGAAAATAATGATCAAAGGTCGTAGGTCCTAGAGGACCTGAAAGATTCCTCAAAAAAACTACAAATAGAAATTCAGGGGTGGGGGATTTACCTCAGTGGTTTCACCGCCTGCTGCGCAAGTGCAAGGACCCGAGTTTGATCCCCGGTACCAAAAGAAAAAAAAAAAAAGAAATTCAATTCAGCTTAGCTGTACTTCTTTGAGTACCTTCCTGAAAGAATTAAAGACATCGTATTACAATAGTACCCATGTTTAGAGCAGCATAGTTCACAGTAAATTATGGAAGGAGCCTATATGCTCATCAACAGATGAGTGGATAAAGAAGTGTGCCAAAGGCTGGGCATGGTGGTACACGCCTGCAATCCCAGCACTTGGCAGGCTGAGGCAGGAGGATCACTGAGTTCGAGGCCAGCCTGGGCTACATAGTGAGACCCTGTCTCAAAAAACCAAAAGAAAAGTGTTATATATATATATACACAATGGAGTACTTACTTACCCATAAGGAAAGATAAATTTGAGTCATTTGTAGGAAAATGGATGGATCTTGAGATCATAATACTAAGTAAAATTAATCAGACACAGAAAGTTAACTATCACATGGTTTTCGTGACCCAGGAGGAACCAAAAATATAAATAAAGACTAAAATAGAAGTGGTAGGAAACAGGGAAGTAGACTCTGGAGATGGGAAGGGGCTCTGGGGAAGGAAGGAGGGAAGGGAGTAAAAATGATCAAGATGCAATATGTATATGTACCAGTTCCCCAAGATGAGCTTAATTATGTATCACAAACATTAAAAATCAAATTATTTTTTAAAAATGGGTCAAGTGACTGGAACAAGAGTCATGGATAGTGAAATAAAAGAGAAAGGCTTCAGCACATTAATTGGAGGATGTATCAAATCAGTCACTAGCAGCTGGGGTCAATCCTTGTAAGACATTGGAATTGGAATCAAAGTGCTAAAGAATGTCACTGAAAAGCTCAAAATGTGGTTCAGGAATACCTACTTCTGAATTCTCTGAAATGTGTGTTTGTTCTAGAGGCCAGGCCATCCATCTTTTCTGCACAATCACATTGAAAAGCCCGTGTGTTAGGCTTCGCATTGGGAACAGACACCCCTTTAGGGCTGTGCTTGAGGCTGGGGAAGCCAGGGAGGATTCTTATCTGTGGAGATTAACCAAAAACTGAATCACTTGATCAGTGTACCTGCATGGAATGCTGCCCCACAGCCACTCAAGTGCTGCCTGCCAGGCAGAGCAGACTGCAAGTCTCGGACAGTTGCTTTACACATGTGTTGGGGGGTGGGGTGAGACAGGATTTCACTATGTAGCCTAGGCTGGCCTTGAACTTGTGCCAGTCCTCCTGCCTCAGCCTTCCGAGTGCTGGGATTGCAGGCTCGCCACCACACCTGGTTTAGATGTGCTTTTGAAAGAGTCCCAGACACCCAATTTGGTCACCTTTCTCCCCCATGACATGTCTTGTACTTGTGCATATCGAAGACTAAGATGATCTTTGATTTTTGACCTGTTTGTAACAAATGTCAGGTTTGAACAAAGACCGGAGTTTGGGTGCAAGTGGCTAGATTTGTCTCTGGCCAGCTCAGATGTTAAGAGCCAGGCAAGCAAGCACGTGGGTTGACTGGGGTGTGGGGAAGATCTAATGAGGCTTTGAGCTCCAGGAGGTGGTGCAGAAGGCTTACTACCTTCTCAGTCTCTTCCTCAACCATTGTTCCAAGACACTGTGAGTAAACCTGAAGCCTTTGTGAAAGCAGAGCTGCTTCCTAGGAAATAGGTACTGGCTTCAAAGCAGTGCCCACTGCACACCCGCCCCACCCCACACCCACAGCTTTAAACTACACTGCTGACTTATACTTGCAAAGCCTCAGCTTCCTTATCCATAAAACAGGATGACTGCAGTAACCACCTCTGGAGGTAGTTGAGAGGATTGAACATGGTGTAGGGGTCAGTGCTGCTATGATGAAATATCTGAGGCTGGGTCATTTATAAATAATGAGTGTTATTTTTTACATTTCTGAAGGTTGGGAAACCCTTGTTCAAGGCACCAGTAGGTCTGGTGTCTGGTGAAGTTCTGCCCTCTCCTCAGGAGGCCCCTTGCCACAATCCTCTGGAAGAAAAAGCTCTATCCTCACACAGAAGAAGAGACTCTGTGCCTAAACTAGTTTGCTGCAGCCCTTCTATAAAGCACTGAGCCTGTCTTCATGGTCTAATCACCTCTTAAAACCCTCACCTTAAAATACTACCACAGTGGGGATTAAGATTAAACAGATGAATTTGAGGATCCTCCTGGCTTGCCTCCCTAGTAGCTGGGATTATAGGTGTGTGCCACCATGTCTGGCTCTCCTGTCTGGATTTCGAAAAATGTTTTTCAAATTATTCTTCTGAAGTCAGAGCCATTCTGAACACAAAACTACTTGCTTTCTTGGAAAGATCTAATCTCTAGTTTCTGGAATTTCAGGTGATATGCTTTCTGTGGGTCTTTTTAAGTCCTTCTGGGCCCTCAACAGACCTTTTTAATAAGTTTGTATCCTCCAGTGCTGGGAAACGTTCTTGTATTGTTTATTATTGATCCTTTCTATTTTTTTTTCTCCAGTACTGGAGATTGAACCCAGGGCCTTCACACTGAGCTACATCTTTAGCCTCTTTTGTTTTTAAATTTTGAGATACTTAGTTGCCAAGTTACCCAGACTAGACTTGAACTTGCAATCCTCCTGCCTCAGCCTCCCAGCATTATTGGGCTTACAGCCCTGCACCACCACACCCATTTTCCATTCTTTATTGATAATATTTATGTTACTTTATTTTTGTGCCTTTTGGTTATTTTATAGCACCTTGTTTTTATTTCATGGATACAATTTTTGTCTGATAGTACTTAGAATTTTGTGGACTTTTTCTTCATCTCTTGCAATAATCACTTCAACTGGGGGGTTGCCTTAAAGTTAGGTGTTTCCCCCCATATGTCTAATGACCTTTGCTGCCTTTTATCTTTAGGAGTGAGAAACTAGCAGCTGACTGTCACTAGCTTTGCATGGGTGGCTTCCCATGCAGTGGGCTGTAACAGGTAGGCAACCAGGACAGGGACTTGGCGGTTTTGCTGTGAGTTCCAAACTGAAGTGTACTTGAGCCTTTTCTCTTTGGCCAGTCAGTCTCTCCAGAGAGGCATCTCCCGCCTCCTGCCTGAAATAAGTCGCTGCCAGCATTTGTGGGGTGAAGGTCCTACCCAAAGCCTGTGTCCAACCATGCTCCATCACTTACCCTCTGCAGAAGGTAGCCCCAGTCTTCCGGAGGGAGCAGAACCGCTGCCTGGGTGGCTGTTCTGCTTTGCTCTAGAGTATCCCCCCAAAAGCCCTTGTGTTAAAGGCGTGATCTTCATCCTGTGGTGCCATTGAGATAAGAGTGGAACCTTTAGGAGGGGGCCTAGGTCTTAAGATGGGAGCATTGCTTTAAAGAGGACATTGGGATCTTTGCCTTCTCCTCTCTGCTTCCAGGCCATCATGAGGTGGGCAGCTCTGCCCCACCTCACACTCCCATGATGTCCTGCCTTGCTCCAGGCCTCAAAACATTGCAATGAGCCCAAGGGGGACTGAGACCTCTGAGAGTGAGCTAGAATTAATCTTTTTCCTCCTTCTTAGTTGATTCTCTTGGGTGTTTTGTCCCTGTAGTGGGAAGCTAACAGTAGGTGAGTGGGTGGGTGAGTGAGCTGACACCAGCTGCTTCTAGCATGGACTTGGCATTAAAATGGCACCTCAGATCAGTGGGGAGAAGGATGATTCAACAATGTGACAACTTGCTATTTGTGGGGAAGTGGGATGCTGACATTATTGTTTACTCTCAAATGAATGAGAAATGGAGCAAAACGTCAAATGTTACAATAAATAAATTACAAGAAAAATACGTATTTTTTGGTTTTGTTGAGACAGGGTCTCCCTCTATAGTTCAGGCTGGCCTTGAACTCATCATGTAGCTCAAGCTGGCCTTGATCTCAGGGCGATCCTCCTGCCTCAGCCTCCCAAGTGCTGGGATTACAGGTGTACACCACAATTCCCAGCAAGAAAAACATTTTAAGACTGAAGAGTGAACAAGGCCTTTCTTAGCCTGACACAAAACACAAGTCACAAAGGAAAAAGCCCAGACCAGGGATGTAGCTCAGCAGCATAGTGCCTGCCTGACAAGCTCGAGGTCCTTAGTTCGATCCCCACTACCAAAAAGGAGAAAACTCCAGACAAGTCTGGTTTCATAAATGATTAAAACTTACCACACTGTGAAAATAAATAAATGAACATATAAACAAAATGGCAGTGCTCACTTTGGCAGCACATATACTAAAATATAAACAAGTGACAAACTAAGAAAAATCTATGCAATAAATTCCAAAATCAGAACACAAAGATAATACAAGAATGGTAAAAGACAGTTTATTGAATAGAAAAGGAAATACCAAGTTTCTCAACCACACTCAAAAATAAAAATGAGACTTTTCACAGAAAAGGACTAGTAAAAATAGGACCTTTATTATTAAGTATTTTTATGAGCATTCATAAAAAGTACAGTAGTATTTCCTTATACTGTTGGGGAGAATATAAAAATGGTACAACTCTTCTGATGATCAATCTGACCTAAATTTTAAAAGTACAATTTAGCAGAACAATGTCTAACCATGTATCTTTGATGTATTCACATGCATACACGTATGTACACACATACACTTACCTATATGTATGGAGGTTCTTCTGGAATTTTTTGTAATCACAAAAACCTGAAGTCAACAAAATAATTGTAAAATGCAGAATTATAATTTATCCATTCACTGATTGAAGACCATTCTATCATAGAAAAAAATATGAGGTGTAGTATTGATGTGAAATGTAGTCTTAAAAATTCTGAATTGCTAAGTGAATAAAAGCAAGATCTTGAACTGTATTGTATAGTATGACCCAATTTCTGGGGAAAAATGCACATGAAACTCTTACCAAGGGTTACCTCTGGGGAGGGCAATTGTGGGCAGGTTCAGTGTGGGTGGGGGCTTTGATTCTTCACACCTGGTCAGATTGAGGCTCTCTCAGGCAGCTTCCCCATGCTCTGATGTCCTTTCAAGCAGTTTTCCTCATGTGACACCTCCATTGCCATAGGTTTTTGCTCATGGCGTGCTCTTCCTTTCTCTTTGTAGGTCTGTTTTGTCCATTCTTTAAGAACCAGCCCAAGTACCAGTACTTCAGGACTAGTACTTTCATGAGAACTTCCCAAACTCCTCAAATTATACTACTGTCTTCCCCCTCAGTATTCTTGCTGTACACAGCTGAGTAATTATTCAATTTTTACCTGTTGACTTTCTCCAATTTTCAAGCATCTTAAGAGGAGAAAACATGTGTGACTTTATTTTGTGCTCCCTGCCCTCACACTTCAGTCACTGTGAAGGACAGCACTCAATACTTATAAATAGGCTACTGCTTCCTCCATATATACATGTTACTTTAAAAAAGCAGAACTAGGCCAGGTATTTAGCTCAGTGACCTGCACCTGCCTGGCAAGTGCAAGGTCCTGAGTTCAATCCCCAGTACCAAAAAATAAAAAATAAAAAGTAAAAAAGCAGTATCTTGACATTTAGCTCCTTGGTCTTGAGGCCTTCATTTGTTTTGTTTATTTAGGGATGGGCAGATGGAATAAAGTTGATTTTTCTAAGGGTAAATTCACATTTTATACATCTGGAATTTCCCATTCAAGAGAATCCCTAAAAAACTGAGATCTGGGCTGGGGATTTAGCTCAGTGGTTCTGGCACCTGGCTCGCAAGCGTGAGGACCCGAGTTCAATCCCCAGTACCAAAAAAAAAAAAACAACAACTGAGATCTCATTTATTCACAATTCTTTCAGTAAGCAGAATGCTTATTTAAATTAGCTAACAGCTTTCTATCCTCCCCACATAAATAAACGGAAAAAACCCCACAAAGAATATTTTAGCAATAGGAACACAAGAATGTTAAATCCTTATTAGTGAACATCGATATAACAGTGTAATATCAATTTTTATCCAGTGTAAGAACATTTTAAAGCTTTATTTTATAAAACATTTCAGAGTTCCTTATAACAGCATATCAAAAGTGAAATCTACATATATTGATTTAATACTCCATGTTAAGACCCAAACTCCCAATCCTAGGTAAGAGGTCAAGTTGCAAGATACAAGTAATGAAAATTAAACTATAGGTAGTATTTTAAACAAAAAAAAAATTAGCAACTTTTTAGCACTTAAGTAAAATGAAGCTTTAATCAAAAAGACTTAATTCCACAGTGTCTTTTTTCCAAGCAGTAATTAATCATATCAAGCCTGTGATCCTAAGCTCCAGTGACAGGTATGCTTGAAGCAAACAACATAATTCTAAGTGGTATTCAGCATGTACTATATTTCTGGATTTGATTTTAGAACTTATTCTGGAGTCTAATGAGACAATGACTAGAGAGAAGAGCTCTGAACCACCACCCCCCAGCATTAACTTTTTATGTCCAGCACAGGGGCACATTACAAGATTTAATCAACTTCTCACACTGACTGATTCACCAAAGCATACTTCAGCTACAGTTGTCATTAAGGAACACACCAATTCTTAACAGAAGAAAATTCTGTACTTCCAGTTTTAAAAAGCAGTTTTATGAAGAAGCAACCATTTATATATCTGAGAATACATATTTAAGTTTTCACAACTCCATGCCTTAAGAGGAACTTTCGGAACTATCATTTTGCAGACTCTGTGCCATATATTTACACAGTTCAAAATTTCTACAATATATTAGAAATGGTAAATGGCACAAAATAATCATAATAATCAAAATTTTATAATATTCAAGTTTTCAGTGATCTTTAAAAAAGTATAACTGTCTTTGTTCAGCTAAGATATCCAATTATGGTATATAGAAAATCCTAGATATGTGAAAAAAATTAGTTAAAGAAAATCCTGGGCCAGGGATTTAGCTCAGTGGTTCCGCCACCAGCCTCGAAAGTGCAAGGACCCGAGTTCGATCTCTGGTACCAAAAAAAAAAAAAGAAAATTCTAATACCTTTCAACTTTTTATTTATATTGTTTTTGTGGTACTGGGAATTGAACCAAGGGCCTTCACACTGAGCTATATCCCTAGCAGTTTTATTTTTTATTTTGAGATAAGGTCTCACTAAGTCACTAAATCGCCCAAGCTGGACTTTTAACTTGGAATCCTCCTGCCTCAACCTCCCAGAGTAGTGAGATTATTGGCAAACTCTTTCCCATGGCCCTTCTGACTTTTTAAATATAGATAACTTGCCGGAGATTTAGCTCAGTGGTGCCGCTGCCTGTCTCGCAAGCGGAAGGTTCCGAGTTCGATCCCTGATACCAAAAAAAAAAAAGTATACATTTAAATATGGATAGCTTAAAATGAATTACAAGTTCTGGGCCGGGGATTTAGCTCAGTGGTTTTGGGCCTGCTGCGCAAGCGCAAGGACCGGAGTTCAATCCCCAGTACCAGAAAAAAAAAAAAAGAATTACAAGTTCGAGCCCAGTCTGGCCAATTTTGCAAGACCCTGTCTCAAAATTTTAAAAAAGGGCTGGGGATGTAGTTCAGTACAAAGGCCCTTGGTTCAATCCCAGTATGGGGTGGGGAGGGGAAGACAGCTAAAAAGAAAAGTGCTAGTCTGGCATCTGAGTAATTAAAAAGTTATAACCCCGAGTCACTACTCCGAATCCACTTTAGGTTTCACATAATTTTCAGTCTTAATACCATTATTTTTATTCAGATAAATGACCTTTAGAAATCATGGGTATCACAAATGGCACTTAAGGAAAAGAATCACAAGATGCAAAAAAAAAAAAAATCACAAGATGCTAGGGGAAAAAGAAACAAATCTCAGCAAGAACAGTTCTTTCAAATGAAGAATGTTAATACACAATGGAAGCACAGTTTAGAAATTCTGGGAAGCTAACGTTTCTTATTTGTTTTACTAAGCAATATGAATTAAACATTATAATCTGAAGTCCTTTTAAACCCAAAGCATTCACAAGAAAATGGGCCAGGCATGATGGTATGCCTGTAATCCCAGCACTCAGGAGGCTGAAGCAAGAGGATCACTGTGAGTTCAAGACCAACCAGGACTACATAGTAAGTTCAAGGCCACCCTGAACTACATAGTAAGACCTTGTCTCAAAAAAGAAAATGTATGGCGCTGGGGATTTAGCTCAGTGGTTCTGGCGCTTGCCTTGCAAGCGCAAGGTCCCAAGTTTGATCCCTGGTACCAAAAAATAAAAAAAGAAAATGCAGCACAGCGCATTCTAGGAGTCACAAAAAGTTTCTTCTTGCCTGAGACTTGGGTATATGGGTCTCATTTCTGTTCTCTTACTTTGTCACAAAGAGAACCCAATACAAATCTCCACTTAAAGTAGTCATTTTTGAGAACAGTAGGATCTAGGGCTAGGGATTTAGCTCAGTGGTTCCACTGCCTGCTTTGCAAGCGCAAAGTCCCAAGTTTGATCCCCGGTCCAAAAAAAAAACCCAGTAGGATCTGCATTTTTTTCTAACTTCTCATCCATCCAGACCCTGAGATCTACATAAAGATTTCAATGGAAACTTTTTTCACTTGCCTGCAGACTGAGCTACTATATAACCTACCCTGAAGGGATGGAGGCCTGAAAGTCACTGGCTACTACCAAGGTTCCTCAATGTGTCCTGTTTTTATTATTACTTTTATTTAATATGACAAAGACAAAAGCTCCAGCTAGAAATTTATATATTTCAGAAATACGCCCCCCGGGGGGGGGCTTTACCATTTCCAATTTCAAAGTAGATGCTTCCAAATCAAACAGTATCAAGCTGCTAATTAGCAACTGAAAATAATCAGCTATTCAAATTATGGAAATGCTTGAGGTGGTTTTTCTGTTTATTTTTGTTTTCCCCCTTAGCACTGGGGATAGAGCTCAGGGGTGCTCTACTACTGAACTACAACTCCAACTTTTTTTTTTTTAGATAGGGTCTCACTAAATTGCCTGGCCTGGCCTTGGCCCTAAACTTGCAATCCTCAGCCTTACCCTTTCCAGTAACTGGGATTACTGGCACGGGCCACCATGCCTCCAGCTCCTGGTTTTCATGAAAGCTTCCTCTTATATTTTATAAGGATGGGAGTATATGACATCCACACACAGCTAGTTTCAAGAAATAGTTCTTTTGAGTAAAATTTATCCTAAAACAAATTTTTCCAACTCCTTTTTTTCCAAATTGTTCAATGACAACAATTGTTTAAGGACAACAAATATATGAGGCAGGGTCTGAGATGGCACTGTACCCTTTAAGAAAACTAACACTTTAGTGGACTGGGAAACTTCACAACATAAACTATGTATTTATAGACTTTTTTCTTGGTGCTGCATAATATGAGAAAATATGTTTTGACTCAAAGATAAGCTACAGTACTGCAGTGTAACATGTTCATTAAAGAATCAGCATAATTTAAAAGAAAAGCATAGATAGTATGTTGTAATAATTCTGATATTTTCATTATTTGACTTAAATTACCATATCTTTTTTCTCCTTTTGATTTTACATTTCTTAGAAGGCATTTTTAAATTTTTGAGCTGTTTGAAACAATCATGGATACACTAATGTAATAACATAAATATAAATAACACATAAGCAATATTTATGCACACACATGAGCAGACCCAAACATCAGACGACTGAAGTTGTACTCTCAGGGTTCACACGCATGAGTCTAGAGGTGTTTCTCAGGTCCTGGAGCTGCTTGGCAGGTTTCCCCACACCTTCCTCAAACCTCTTCTCCACCACAGGAAGGACTGTTTCGTACAGAAAGGATGCGTTCTGCCTGATAAAAGCCTTCTTCTCTGGATCCTGCTCACACCGCAGACTGTAATCCACATGCTGAACAGCAACCAGGATGATTTCCACCAGGCTTTCGAGAAGCACCATGTGCAGCTCAGGGAAATACAGCTTCAGCGCCTCTTCCAGAAAGCCCATAGTCTGCTTGGTAAAGGCAACCACTGTGTAGCTCAAGTTCACCCAGCAGTCATCGCCTGTGTACTGCTCAAAGTTACTGACCCCACAACTCCTCATCTCTTCCTTGAGCTTGCTCAAGGCCTCAGGAGTCATCAGGTTCATCCGCCTCCACATCTCCTCCGAGTTGCGGTGTTTGGTGGCTTCAATGATGATCTCCTTGTAGCTGTGCAACGCCCCCTGGATGTCTTTCACCAGCAGAGCATGGATGATGAAGGTGAGGTCCAGCCCAATTTCCCCCAGCTGCTGGCAGTGCTCCTTGGCCACCTTCACACACTCTGCTGCTGTGGAGAGGCTCTCCTTGCTGTCAAACACTTGCTTGCTGAAAGCATCCACAAACATGCCCATGGCTGACCTTGCCCAGACCACAAAAGCAGAGTAGCAGCCACTATCTGTGCCTGCAAAGTCCGTCTCGAATTCCCTTGCAGTCTCCAGCAGGCTGGTGAAGAAGACATGGCAGAGCTTGTGAATGTAGAGGAGAGTGGCCCCTTCAATGCGGAGCTGCCGTATTGCAGTGTGCACAGCTGCTGCCCTGTTTCTCAAAAACAGCTCACATGCCTTTGTGCACTGGCCCAGCCGGATTAGCTGAGAAACTGCCCTTCGAGTGGCCTTGGGGCCACCTCTCAATGAGCGATCTGGGGAGAGTTCAAACATGAGCACCTCAGTGAGCTGCCTTACACGCTCATCCACTTTGGCCCTGAGTTCTTTCACAGGAGGTGAGCTGGGCTTGTCTTCTAAGTAGTGGTTCAGCTTGTCCAGAAGATCAACAGCTCCCTCAAAGTCCCTCTGGGCAATACAGACATCCAGGTCTTCCGGCAGCTCCTGGATCCACTCCACTGAGAGGTCCACCTTCTCTTCCTCTACCTCAGGAACAGCCGGCTCTTCATCGTCATCCTCCTCAAATGGGTTGCTGGCCTTGGCAGTCACTTGTGGGGGCCCTCGTGGGGCCGCTGCCTCCTCCTGCTCCCTCCTCCTCTTCTCGCTAAGGGCCCTCTTGGTTTCCTCCAGCACTTCCAGCCACTCCCGTTTGATTTTGGCATTTTCTGCCTGAAAAATTCGGCTCTCAGGGAACATGAGCAACTTGAACATGTCCTTCATGGGTGGGTTGTCCTTGACATTGACCACAGCCAGGCCGTCCAGCTGGTACAGCGCGTTGTAGCGGTACATGCCCCGTCGCTGGGGCAGCCAGGTGGCCACCAGCAGACAGTCGTTCATGAGGAAGCCGTGCACTCGCTGCAGCTGAGCCATGTTGTCCGCCTCATACTCCACTAGGTCCCCGTTGTACACCAGGTACTGCCCAGGCGTCTCCAGCAGGTGCCTGCAGCCCTCCACCTTCTCCAGGAGCGTGGTCAGCGTGCGCTGCTTGCCCTCCTCGCCGGCGCTGGGGCTGTCGCGCGGGGCGCCCGCTGGCCCCGGCAGGAAGCCGGCCTGGCCACGTCGGCGGTCCCGGGCACCCGCGCCTGGTGCGTCCTCGCCAGAGGCGGCCCCCGCCGCAGTGGCGGGCAGCAGAGCCAGCGGGATGCTCTCTAGGCTGCTCTTCTGCTCGGTCAGCAGGTGGCTAAGCTGGTACATTTCGCTCTCCAGGTAGGAGATCTCCCGAGCCGTCTCGATGAACTGCCGATAGTTCTGGTAGACGTTGCGCTTCAGGTTCTGCGCAGTCTCCTCCGCCAGAGCCTGCACCCGTTGCCGGTGCTCTTGCAGGTCGCGGTCCCCGTCCGACTGCTGCGACAGCTGCTTCACGTACAGACGCGCCTCGAAGCCCCCCGATTCCAGCTGTCGCCGCAGGCGGCTCGCCCCGCTGTCCGACAAGGCCATCGCCCTTGCAGCGCCAGCCTCCACAGTCACTGTCACTGGCCGCCGTCTGACCCCACCCAAACCCCGCGGAACCCGGAGGTTGACGGCGCAGAACGTGAGCAAGACGAGGACGCCTGCGCCAAGAACGGGCGTCGGACACTGCGCCTGCGCCGGGGCCAAACGTCGCGCGCAGTGACGGCACAGTAGACTGGCGTCGCACACTGCGCCTGCGCTGGACTTGAGTGCGGTTGTGACACCAGCGCGGAAACGGTAACGGACTAAGGCGCGTGCGCATCGCTGTGGAACTAGGAGCCGGCTGGGATCTGCGCCTAGCCGGAGCGTGACATAGGGCGTGAGACTATCAGTGAGGAGTAAAGGCGGTAGCCGGTTTTGTGGGACCCTACCCGGCCACTGCCTGCGGTCGGCGTTGTGCTGCCTTTCGCTGCGAAGCCCCCGCATCCTAGTGCTTATGTTCCGGACGAGCCCGCGCTCGCCCTGAAGTGGGGCCCGAGGTCTCATGAAGCCGGTGTAGTCGAGGGTGTGAAGGGAACTGGCAGCGCGATGGATGAGGACCTGACGGTCGCGCTGCGGCTGCAGGAAGAGTGGGATGCGCGGGCCGCCAAGCGCGCAGCGCGGGAGACCCTGTCGCTGGTGGACCCGTCCTGGGAACTGTTGGACCCCAACCCGAACCTGCAGGGCCTATTCGTGCAGTTCAACGACTGCTTTTTCTGGGGTCGGCTGGGGGCCGTGGAGGTGAAGTGGAGCCCGCGCATGACGCTGTGAGTGAGCCTGCGCGCCGCCCGTATGGTCGGAATGCTGGTCAATGGTGCCCCTCCTCTTTTCCCTGGGGCCTCCGGAAAGGAGGCCCCCCGGGGTCCTTGAGGGCTTGGCCGGAGGACACCGTGACGAGGAGTGTGCTGGAACCAGCCCCAACAGTACCAGGACCCAGAGTCCCCCCAGGACATCTGGACCTTACTCTTAGGACCTGGCCCTGAGAGTGTGGAGACCCAGGATTCCTCAGGACATGTGGACCTGATTCCTAGGACCCTGCCTCAAGAGGACCAGGACCCAGGAACTTCAGAACTATGGATCTCATTCCTAGACCCCTACTTTGAGAGTGTCAAAACCGAGATTCCCTAGGTCTAGTGGACCTGACCCTTAAGACCGGCCCCGAGAGTGCAAGGACCCAAGGTCCCTCAAGACGTGTGAACACCTAGGACTCAATCCCGAGAGTGTGCTGGACTTAGGGGACCCTCAGTGAGGATGCTATTCAAGACTAGGGTCCCTTTTTTACCCTCTTAAGTTTTTGAAACAGTAACGTGCCCCAGCATATGAATGAAGTTAGGGTTGAGGTGTTCTGTGGTGTCACACGGGGCGTGGTTTGAAACTATACAGAACAAGCTACAGTAAGGGAGGCTATCAAATTGTTCTTAGAGTACAGTTCTTCATTCAGGTGTGCCATCGCAGCTATGGTTTACTGCTGCTGCTGACTGGCTGGGGAGGAGATTGGGTCCCTGGGGTGACCGTCCTCTTTGAGCACTGCAGCTGTTAGAGTAAGGGCAGCCACAATAATGGCAGCAGCCTCTTTACTGGAGCGCGGTGCAAGTTCTGCTCCCAAGAAGATGGACACTTAAGAAAGCTATCTGAAAAAATATATATAAATAAATAAATAATCTTTCAAAACTCAAAAAAAAAAAAAGAAAGCTATCTGAGCTAGCTGTGGTAGTGCACTCCTGTAATCCTGGGAGGTTCAGGCAAGAGCATCGATCACAGTTTGAGCCCAGCTTGAGCAACTTAGAGGCTTAGCAAGACCCTGTCTCAAGAAAAGGGGGGCTGGAGATATAGCTCCTTCCAAAGGCCCTGGGTTCAATCCCCAGCATGGGGGAGGGGGGACACATGGGGGCAGGATCCTCTTAGTCTGAACTGCCAGAGGAGGAGTAAAGATTTGCTTTTCTATCTGTTTCTCTTTCATGTGTATTTGGTAAATGTAACACATTGTAATTGTTTTCCAGGTGTGCTGGGATTTGCAGCTATGAAGGCCGTGGCGGAATGTGTTCCATCCGTATCAGTGAACCCCTTTTAAAGTTCAGACCAAGAAAAGATCTTGTAGAGGTATTCTTTTTATAAGCTTGATTCTTAGCTCAGTAATTTATAGTCAGTCTTCTGTGAATAAATCTGTATGTTTTTTTAAAATTGCTTTTCCCTTAATACAAACTTGAATTGTGGAGCAAATAATAAATACCTTGTATAGTTATAATGCTGCAAAGCTAAGAAAGGCTGTCAGGCATATTCACTCATTTAATCTCTACATCAGCCATGTTTATGTTCACTGTGGGTTATCTTCATTTTTATAGATGAGGAAATTAAAGTTCAGAGAGGTTAAGTAACTTGTTTAAGTTACATATTTAGAAGCAGAGAAAAACTTAGGATCTGAGTGCTCCCGTTGACACATACAAATTTGGATTATCCACTGTTTGACCACCACACTGCTGCCCTCCCAGGACACCTACCTGAGCTGGCAGCAGAAGTAGTCTGGAGGTACACTTCACTGTAGAGCTGACCTAGTTTACTCCAGATTGGGTTTAGTTGATACCTGAAAGTCTCCAAGATGCATCCAGTGTAACTTGTCCTGCCCCAGTTCTATCACTTGAAAAATTTGCACAAGACAGCACAGGGATGGTAGAAATTGTCTGCATTAGGTAGAAATTGCTTAAAACATGCTAGGAAATCTGAGGAATGGAACTTTAAAGGATAATAATAGGTAATGGATTTCACAACAATGACATAGTTAACACTATTCAGTCGTACACATAAAAGCATACAAGGTCAGCCTTTGGTTAAAATCAGGCGTCGCACCTGTTCTGATCAGTTGAATGTCTTGATATGTGCACTATCCAAAGGCAGTATGTTAAATGGAATTTTGAAGCAGAAAGCTTGCTCTGTCTACTCCGTGCATTGACTTCATATTGCAGTACCCCCAGGAATGGTCTGCCCCATCCCATGAGAAAAAGAAGTGATTATGATAATTTTATGTTACATGTTTTATACTACAGTTTAAAAAGAATAAAGAGATACTAGATGTAAAATGGTATATTAGAAACATTTGATTAATGAAACACAAGGACCGAAGGACAAAGTTGATGTGACCTAAAGAAAAAGACATAAACACTAATTATATTTAATGTGGACGACTATTTTGTTAGAGATATTTGACTAGATTAAAAGAGGCATACTTAACAGTAAACACATGTATGTTAGATTTGAAGGGATAGAAAAATGCATATCACGAGCTGGGGATTTAGCTCCGTGGTTCTGCTGCCTGTGTCGCAAGCACAAGGTCCTGAGTTCAATCCCTGGTACCAAAAAAAAGAAAAACATGCATATCGTCCAAATACAATGGAAAGCTATTGCATCTCTATTAGTATCAGACCAAATAATTTCAAGGAAAGAAGTTTTACTAGGAAAAAAAGGGACATTTTTATAACGTTAAACTATTGAACAAAATACATAATGACCCTAAATGTAATAATATAGCTTTTAAATATATAGACAGGAAGTAAATTAACAGAAACAACTAGTCCACAATTATGGTTGCAGACATTAATACAACCCTTTTAGTAATTTGATGAATTCATCGAAAAAAATAATATGCATAAAACAAAAAAATTAAACATGATTAACCAAATCACCCTTACCAGGAAGCTTAATAGATGAGGAGTTGCTTAAGGAATATGTACTGATTAAGCACGTGAACATTTTTTTTTTTTTTTTTGAGAAAGGGTCTCATTGTGTAGTCTGGGCTGACCTTGAACTTGAGACAATTCCCCCTGCTTCAGCCTCCAAGTGCTGGGATTACAGGCATGTGCGCTATCACACCTGGTTCAGTTTTTTTTTTAAGTAGTGGTTGAGAGAATAAAAGTGTGTGGTAATGGTTTCAAGTGAGCATTTCCTATTGGCAGGAAGTTGCAATATTAAATCGAGCAAGAATAGGAGGGAAATTCTAGTCTATAAAGCATTAACTGAATCATAAAAATGAGATTCATGAAAGGAAAAGACTATCTGGCTTAGGAAGTCAAGAAAAGCCTTATAAATTTAGATTTTATAATGGCCACCACCACCACTCCTACCACTCGTTCTTTATTGAGCACCTTTTCTATACCAGACTTTGGACTAGCTCAACTGTAGCCTTTGCCATAGCCCTAACTAAATATTAGCACATCCTACTTTAGGAATGAGGAACAAAGTGTAACCTGTCCCATGACACAGGCTTAATTAATAATCCTTACTTTTCAGTTTCCCTAACTCACTGCTGCTCAGCTTTGTCATACTGCCCTACAACTTATTCTTGCCAGTTGAACCTAGAAAGCTGAGGCCTAGAGTCCTACTAGACTCCTGACAAGTAGAGATAGGAGAAAAGACTACTCCTGGCTGGAGGAGTAAGAGTAACTTGGAAGGTCAGAAAACTTGTGACATATTTAGGACCAGAATTTATTACAAGCGTAATGGGAAACAGGTATGCTATCTAGAGCCTCAAATCTAGCCTCAATGTGGATACTGGTAGATATAAAAATATTGCCTTGTGCTATTTGCAAGATGTTTAAATTGAGGGCCAAGGGTTTAGCTTAGTGGTGCCACCACCTGCTTTGCAAGCGCAAGGTCCTGAGTTAGATCCCTGGTACCCCCCCCCCCCCGCAAAAAAGATGTTTACATTGAACCAAAAGTTATGAACCTAAAGTTATTTCTCCTTGGGCTGGGCATTTAGCTCATTGGTTTGGCTCCCTGCCTCACAAGCTCAAGGGCCCAAGTTCAATCCCTGGTACCAAAAAAAAAAATTGTTTCTCCTTTGTGAGAAACAGATTGTTGAGAAGCTTTTGAAATGTAGAATAGCCTTTCTTGAATTTGAGTTTTCTGAATAGAGTGACATTGACATTGACTCAAAAAATAATGTTCCTTTTAAGAAGTGCAGTTGATAATTTTTTTTTTTTTTTTTGGTACTGGGGATCGAACTCGGGACCTTGCACTTGTGAGGCAGGCAGCAGAACCACCGAGCTAAATTCCCGGCCCGCAGTTGATAATTTTAAAGTGGGTATTTTCTCAATGACCAATTGAAAATATTTGATTCTCATGTATTTTTAAGCATAATTTTATAGGGCTAAAATTTATTTATGCTATTCAGTCTTGTTCTTCTGAGGGAAATTTCTTTTTTTTTTTTTTTTTTTTTGCCACTGTCAGAGATTGAACCCAGAGGTTCATTCCTGCCAGGCAAGTGCTTGCTCACTGAGCTACATCCTCAGCCCCACAAATTCTTTTTTTAAAAAAATTACTGATGATCGTAGCAGTTACAGGAGCCTGGTGTGGTAGCGCATGACTAATGCCAACTACTAGGGAGGCTGAGGTAGGAGAATTACAAATTTGAGGCCACTCAGGCAACTTAATGAGACCCTATTTCACTTAAAAGGGCCAGGGATATAGCTGAATGGTAGAGGGCGCTGCTTAGTAAACCCTAGTATTCCATGCACGTGCACACTCCTACACATATTATTCAGAATTATGGAAAATATGCTTTCGGGCCAGGGATTTAGCTTAGTGGTTCCACCACCTGGCCCATAAGCACAAAGAGCTGAGTTCATCCCCGGTACAAGAAAGGAGGCGGGGAGGAGAGAGAAAATATATGCTTTTGAAGATCTTTATGGTCTGTTTGTTTGCTTGCTTGTTTGTGATGGAGATGGACTTCAGGCCCTTGGGAATGCTAGGCAAGCACTCTGCCACTGAGCCATACCTTCAGCCTGGTTTTTTGGAGTTTTTTTCGTTCCAATATTAGTATATGTGCTGCTGAAGCAAGCACAAGTTTTTATTTTTCAAAAAGACAATATTCGTACTTTTTTAAAACATAAAAACTCAAGGAACCTTAAGAGCATTTGTTAATTTGTTGTATAAACTTTTATGTGGAGTAATTATTACTATTTTTTGTACCGGGGATCAAACTCAGGACCTTGTACTTCCAAGGCAGGCACGGTGCCACTGAGCTAAATCCCTGGCCCTGGAGTAATTATTTTTATTATCTTAAACTTTTGCATGATTCGGAACTCTAAAACTATAGAAGGGAAATATAGAGAGAAATCTTGTTCTATATCTGTCTTTCTCTATTCTCCCTACCTGTTATAGGAATTATTAGTTTCTTATTTCTTTTTTCTGCTTTGCAAGTATTTATATCTACTTTTATTCCCTTTTCCTGTAACACATTTCTTGTACAGAATTCAATGTGGTTTTTCTGTTTTCATTAAAACAGTACACTCTGTAGCTTTCTCCACATCCTTTTCTAGAGATCTTTTTTTTGAGGGGGGGGTGGTTGAGACAGATCTCTCTATGTAGCCCAGGCTGGCTTTGAAATCACAGCGATCCTCCAGTGTCTGGAGAGCTGGGATTATAGATATGTGGCACCATGGCCAACTTCTAGAGATCTTTCTCATTCTTTTTATGGCTGTGTTGAATTTTGTTTTGTGGGTGTACATTCAGCCAGGGTCCTCTTGGTAAATACTTGAGGTCCTCTTGGTAAATACTTGATGAATACTTGAGGTCCTTTATAAACAATGCCACAGTGAATGCACCTGTACATAAGCCTTTCATGCTTATCTAGGGATTGCTGGCATAAAGTGGTAAATGTATTTGTAATTTTGTTAAATGCTGTGAAGTTCTCCACAGCGGTTGTGCCATTTTGTACTTCCACCAGCCGTATATGCAGATGTTCATTTTCCCTTAGCTTTACTAACAGTGTCATTCTCTGGTTTTACCAATCTTGATGAACAAGACATGGTATCCTAGTGTTTTAACTTGCCTTTCTCTTTTTTATAAATTAGGTTGAACATTTTAATATGTTTATGGGTCATTTATACTTCTTTTTCTGTGAACTCCAGGACATTTTAAACTGACTATTTATCTTTATTTTTGTAGTACAGGGGATTGAACCCATTAAGAATCCCTTTTTATTTTTATTTTGATACAGGGTCTTGGTAAATCACTTAAGTTCCCCAGGCTGAACTTGAACATGTGATTTTCCTGCCTTAGCCTCCTAGAGTGCTGGGATTGCAGGTGTGCACCACTGTGCCTGGCTTATCTGTTTTTCTTTTTAAGAGACAGGGTTTTTCTATGTTTTCCAGGCTATTCTTGAACTCCTGGGCTCAAATGATCTTCCACAGACTCCCAGGTAGCTGAAAGTACAGGTGGATGCCATGATACCCAGCTTTTTCCCACTTTAAAACTGAACTGTTGGGCCAGGGATTTAGCTCAGTGGTGCCTCTGCCTGCCTCACAAGCGCAAGGTCCTGAATTTGATGCCCAGTGCCAAAAAAAACTGAACTGTTTATCATTTTCCTGTTGACATTTGAGCTCTTTATAGTACATTCAGATTTAATAGCCTGTGCTATGTGTTGCACACATAATCATCTGTCTTTTTACTTACAGTGTTTTTCCCATCAGAATTTAAGTTTTTATGTAGGTGAATTTACTGATCTTTTCTTCTAGATTTTGCTTTGTATTCAATAAGGTCTTCTAGGAGCAGAGAATTGTTTATCCAGGATCTTCAGAGTTTTGGATATTTACAAAGTTTTGTGAATATATGCTTATAGATGTTTAAGACCATAAGTAGAGTAATAAAAAGCATTCTTATTTCCAGAAGTGCTATAACAAAATTGTTTTCTGTTTCAGACTCTCTTGCATGAAATGATACATGCCTATTTATTTATCACTAATAATGATAAAGACCGGGAAGGACATGGTCCAGAGTTTTGTAAACATATGCATCGAATCAATCGCCTGACTGGAGCCAATATTACGGTATATAAAGTCTCAGATGTTTATGGTATTTAGTAGTTATTTATTCAGTAACTTCTGAGATTTAATTAAAAATAGGGAACTGGCTAGGTACAGTGGCTCATACCTGTAATCCTAGCTACTTCAGAGGCTAACATAGGAGGATTTCAATTGAGGCCAGCCAGGCCAGCCTGTCTAAAAGGGCTGGGATCATATCTCAGTGTGAAGGCCCTAGGGTTCAATCCCCAATACTGCAAAAAAGAAAGGAAAAAAATGTATATAATAAAAATGGTTAGGGATGTAACTCAGTGGTAGAGCTCTCTGGGTTTGATCCCAGTACTTGTGGGTGTGTATTGGAGTAGATAAAAACAAATACCTTTGAGAATTTTCAGCAGTGAACAAGAAGCCTAAGGAAGCTAATTGGCTTTCCACGCCCACACATTAGAACAGTAGAGTCTAGGTAGGTAAACATTTCAGGCATAGTTAATTCAGGCCTGCAGTACTGGGCTCTTGTGACAACTTCTTCACTTGGTTTTCTTATTGTAGTCTCCTTGAATGCATCCTGTATTCTGCTACCATTCAGAAGTCTTTTTGATTCCTATCTCTGCATAGTCATAGGAGGTAGCAAAGCCTGCGGTTAAGAAGACTTAAGTAACAAGTTACTTGGGTTCATATCCTATCTTGCTCTGCTAATGATTTTCCTGAATCTATCCAGTGTTTCTCTGCCTTATCTTACTCACCTGCAACTAGGGGTAATAACAGTGCCTGCCTGAAGGATCCTTGTGAGGAGGTAGGATTAAAGAAGAAACACGTAAACATTTTTGTACAGCTTGAATACTAATTAAATATGAGTGTGTGTCAATCACTGTATTCATTTTATTAAATAACCTGACTGTTCTTTTTTCTTGTCTCCCCCAACCCCTTAATTGTGTCCTGCTTTTTTGTTAACTGACCTTTGGACCTCCCTGCCTTTCCTCATAAGTACCACAAGGCTCAGTATCTTTCCAGTGGGACCAAACTTTCTTCCTCTGAGTCCTCCCAGCAAAGAGGTTCACTTTTTTTTTTTTTTTGGTACCAGGGATCGAACTCGGGACCTTGCACTTGCGAGTCAGGCTGTGAAACCACTGAGCTAAATCCCCGGCCCAAGTATCTGTATTTTTATTTAGGGGAGGTTTTGTGGAATGAGCAGCCCTTATTAGTGTAGCTTATGTCCCGTTGTATCAAGCTACCTAGAGCAATTTCATTGTATGATACACCATTAAAAACCTTATGCCCAAGTTGTAGGAGTCATAGGAGTTGGAAACAAATCAGATTCAATTCCCTGCCCTTTTTTGCTAAAGAATTACTAAGTGAAAAGTTTGGATACAGTAGAGAGGGCAGCATTTACATGCCTCTGCCCTAAAATTTAATGTCCTTCACTCCTTTCTGCCCCTAGTATAATTTGTACTTACATGCATGCCAAGTAATAGAAATTTTTATGATGGAGAGCTAGCATAAAACTAGTGTTACAGAAGAAAGCTTACCATTCTTTCTTAAAGAATATTTTATTAGAAAGTTAAAACTGCTGGGGATTTAGCTCAGTGGTTCTGGCGCCTGCCTTGCAAGCGCAAGGTCCCAAGTTCAATCCCCAGTACCAAAAACAAAAAAAAAACCCCAGAAAATTAATACTTTTTGATTAGAAAAATGATATATATGTAGGTGCTCCTTATTTTTATACCAATAATAATATTCCACTGAGAAGGTTCCACATAGTGATTTAGGAGTAGTGATTTTCATAATTAATTGTTTTAGTACAGGAGGTTGAACCTTGCCCCCCTTTCATCCTGAGCATGAGCTCTTCACTGTGCTGCAGCCCAACAGGAGTAATTTTCAGCCTTGTGCATGCCTCACTGCTGAGGTGCTTGAGGGTGCTGACTCTCTCCGCCAGAACTTTTTCTTTCTTGGTTTTTGCTCAGGTTCTAAGTAAGACATTATCTAGAGCTAGAAAGCAAAATAAGTCATGTCACATAAGAACTGAAAAGCATATTTACAGAGAACTTTGATTCAGTACGTGGTGTTTTCTAGTGGCTCAGTCAGCAGATATGTTCCCCATGCCCACCACTGATCACTGGTGACCCAGCATGAAAACATTCAAATTCTGTTAAGAGAAATAGCAGTGAACAGCTACAGTATTACCCCCTAAAGCTCACTGTTGAGACACAGGCAGAGCTTTGAGACTCTGGAAAGCGAGCACAGTAGAGGCTTCACTGGCAAAGATGCTGTGTTAGGTCAGGCATTGACAGGAGTTTGGTCCTTCAGAGCTGTTGGTATTGTTACTGATAGGGAACTTTTAAGTTTAGCAGAAGGAATGATTCTTTTCGTTTTCTCTTTTTGTTTTTATTTTCAGTGTCAGGATCAAACCTAGAGCTTCACATACAGGAGGCAACCACTCCATCACTGAGCTACATCCCCAACCAGGGAATGATTCTTACAGTGTTGTATTAGATCTTGTCTTCATCCTAATTTTTTATTATTTTAATATTTTATTTCTGAAGCATTCAGCATTTATAGAGTTGTGGCTTTTTTCAAAAAAAAATTATCTCACATTCTATCTTTACAGTTTAGAAAGTATTAAATTAACTGCTACTGTCTCCTATTAAAATGCACTTCTAGCTGGGGATTTAGCTCAGTGGTTCCACTGCCTGCCTCACAAGCACAAGGTCCCAGGTTCAATCCCCGGTACCAAAAAAAAAAAAAAAAAAAAGAAAAATGCACTTCTGAACTTCTAAATATATTAGCTTTCTTTCCCCAGGAGCTTTTCAGAAATCTCTGGGAAATGGAAAGTTACAAAAAACACTGCTTATGTGAAGTATTTCCCTTACAATTGCTAACTTGCTTACTGAATGCTGAAACCTCCCTCTCTACCCAGGTACACCACACATTTCACAGTGAGGTGGAGGAGTACCGCCGACACTGGTGGCGCTGCAATGGGCCATGTCAGCACAAACAGCCATATTACGGCTATGTGAAACGTGCCACCAACAGGGCACCCTCTGCACATGACTCCTGGTGGGCTGAGCACCAGAAAGCCTGTGGAGGCACTTACATAAAAATCAAGGAACCAGAAAATTACTCCAAAAAAGGAAAAGGAAAGACAAAGCAGCCTGTATCAACAGTGGAGAATAAAGGTACTTTTACACATACTCTTCTATCTTTTCTGTGACCATAGCCAATGTAAACAGTACTGCCCCTCTGGAGAACTGGTATCAAAGTAAGCCGGAGCGCTGTTTGTAGTGGAGAAGTATTCAAGTGTAGCTTTGAGGGAAAATTCCATTGTCCATGAAGTGATGCTAGGAAAATATATTTTGCTTTATGTAGAAGTAAGAGAATAGCCAGGGATTTAGCTCAGTGGTTCCGTAGCCTGCCTCACAAGCACAAGGACCCGAGTTCGATCCCTGGTACCAAAAAAGCAAAAAATACGTATATTTTTGGAGGTTGCCTGTTTAAAATGAAACGAGTTGGGGCCAGGGATTTGGCTCAGTGGTTTCACCGCCTGCTGGGCAAGCGCAAGGTCCGAAGTTCAATCCCCGGTACCAAAAATAAATAAATAAAATAAAATGAAATGAGTCAAAGACACACTGTGGAACACATTGGTGACAGTGGCAGTGGTCGATGATAGTGAGTCCTGTATTGAGAAAGGGTTCAAAGACTCCAGGTGCCAGGGGCTGACACTGACAGCCTACTCCATGTAGTCAAGACCGAGAGATGTTGGGTAGGCCTACCCTTGAAATTGCAATTTTTGAAAAATTGCCTCAAGTGAAATGCAAATCCAATAAAGCAAAGTTTTCAAGCTGGAAAAAAAAAAAAAGTGAAAGTATAAAGTTCCCATGACAGTATTTGAGCTAGAGTTCCTTTCCCTGTCTTGACTTTGCTGAGTAGTTAGGAAATAGAAAGCAAAGAGATTATTAACATAAAAGTAGCAATTCAAGTAATTCCTGAAATGTAAGTCCTAACTATACTTCTTCCTATCGGTTGGGTTCTGTCCATGTGCTCACTGGGAGGAGAATGGGAAGGGATATGACATATATTTGTTAGTATTTCATCTTTAGGCTCTTCCCCTCTCCTGTGGAGCTCAGAGTCACCGTCTTTTGAGGAGCTAACAGGTTGATGTAGTTGATGTTCCTTCCCTTAGGAAGTGTCATTTGGTGCAGTAGGGCCCATGAATGCAAGCTGTGTTTCCCAAATCTGAAATGCTCAGTATAGTCAGGGAGCCATAGAAACTTCTGTGTGAGGGGCTGGATCTTGTTCTGTGAATAGGAAGAACGACAATGAGGTAGCAGGTTTTTCCCTTCTGGAGTTAAATATAGAGGAAAGAAACCCCTTTTGGAGGAGTCATTGTTTCTTGGGTATTGTTCTTTGGCATGATAAGGTTTTTTTTATCTGAATGAGAGGACTCTGCGTTTATTCTTTCAATACCAGAGATCTGACTTCCCAGGATGACCTTCTCCCATTGATGAGTAATTACTGTATGGCTCTTAAGTTAGAAAGAAATATTTTCTTCATTTTGAGAAGACTGTGCATTACTTAGTGTTTGTTACTGCATTAATGTTGAGTCTAGGAAAAGTCTTATTTGCTTCTTTTGCAGATAAGCCCAATAGAAGTGAGGCACAACCGCTAATCCCTTTCAGTGGGAAAGGGTATGTTCTGGAAGAGGTGAGGAATCCATCTTCATCTGGGAAATCGATTGCCTCACGTGCCATCAATGAATCCCAAGATCTTTTAAGTCAGGACAATTCAGCATGTGCTATAAGATCTGATTCTACCATCGAGGTGAAATTCAAACAGAATGGTTCAAGTGAAAACTCTCCTCATCAAGTCCCTCCTGTACACCAAAGTGTCCTAAGCACCTACTTTCCCAGAGTCTCAGTTGTCAACCTAAAGTCTTTCAGAAGTGTGAACGGATCCCAATTGAAAAATGGAACCATTGGTGACATCACTAAACACTCAGTCTCTTCTAATTCTCAAAGGAAGGTTCCATCTTCTAAGACATCCCTGAGAAATCCCTCCCAAGTGATGGCCTCGGCATCTGTAACTGCATCCCAGTATGGACATGGGTCCAAAGACAAGTTCCCAGCCAAACGACCCAGGCTAGAAGACAAAAGCATTTTTGACACCTTTATGAAGAAAGAACAACTACAAAGTGATAGGAGTGAGCCAAATAGTAGTTCACACTTTACAGCTACAACTCAGAGTTCCAGCAGCTTACGCAGTCAGAGTCAGCTGGTCAGCTGTCCAGTGTGTCAGACTGACGTTGTGGAGTCACAGATTAACGAGCACCTAGACCACTGCCTGGAAGGTAGTGCCATCAGTGTTTAGAAGCTGAAAAGTCTGAAAAACGAATCTCACCTGCTGCCTCTATTTTCACACAAATAAATGGCCAGCTGGTAGAGAAGTTCTGGTTGACACTAAGTCTGAAGGTTAGGATCCAGTTCACACACCAGCACAAATGTTCTATTGTATTTATACATATGGGAGATTGTAGTTAACAGTATTTGCTTCTCCAGCTGGGCATGGTGGCACTCCTATGGTCCCAACTACTCAGGAGGCTAAGATGGGAGTTTGAGATCAGCCTGAGCAACGTATGCCCCATTTTTTTTAAAACAAAAATTTTTTTTACATGTCAGAGTGCTACATTCACTCTTGCCTTACTTGCACTGTAGGCCAGGGTTTATTCTGCATGGATAATTTTAAGTACTTTTATTTTTTCTTGCTCTTGAAGATCTTTACATGTGTTAATCTTTTTATTTGTACAATTTCTGTTAGCAATCTTGTCAAGTATTTGGTTAAGTTGAATATTTCTTTAAGTAATAGTATTAAAACATACTTCCCTGGACTGATGTTCATCTTCACAGTGTCAAACTTACCAAAAACAATTTGGAGTGCAAAGTGGAAAAGTTCTTTTAGAGTATTCAAGGTTTTTGTCTTTCTAATTTTTCCCAAAAGCTTAGGAAATGAATTTTCTATATTTCAAAGAATTTTTTCTGTTTCACCCTTAACTAGAGTTGGCAGCAGATTTTAGGTGAAAATAGATAAACAAAATAGTAAAATAAGTAAATTTATTTTGGAGTATTACTAATGACAATAGCCATTATAATTCTGTAGGCCACATTCCATATCCAGTTTAATTTTCTATTAGTACTGTATTTAGCAAAATGAGTGGTTAAAGCTGAGTGCTGGCAAGTAACTGGTATGTGTAGCATAACAAAGTTGCCTAGTTCATGGGAGTCAAAAATATCTGCCAAACAGTATTTCAAACCTTCAGCCAAAATTGAAAACCATTATAATAAAAGGAATACCATTTATGCACTTAAAAATGTATTCTTTTTGCAAATGCAATCACTCCTTTCTGTGTTCCAGCAAAGGGACAAAGATATTTGGATCCATTTACTTCTTGCCCATAGCTGTACTATTTGCCAGAACCTTAGTTGTTCAGTTGTCCTTTTTCTTTGTTGGAATATAATTTGTATGTGGTAAGGTACACAAGTCTGAATAAAGTCAGAGTAAATTTGCATAGAGTTTACCTGTGTGACTTAAAAATTAAAACCTTTGTCTTGCTCAGGGAGACTTCCCTGTGCTTGCCTTTTTCTGGCCAGTGCCCACCATGCTCACCGTCCCCAAGAGCACAACTATTTTCATCTGTTACCAAAGATTAGTTTTAGCCTATTTTTCAGGCTTTATAAAGTATCTTTGTTGGTGTATGTAGCAGTTCATTTTCATTGCTCTGTAGTATTTGTGTGAATATAGAATGGTTTATCCATTGTAAGATTAATGAACGTTTAAACGGTTCTCAGTTTGGGGCTGTTAGAAATAATGCTGCTAAGAACATCCCCTAGTCCTGTTGGGAATACACACGGATTGGCTTGCTGGGTCACAGGGTGTATCTATGTAGCCTTAGTAAATACTGCTAGTTTACACTCATCCTAGCAGTGCCTGAGCCTTTCCAGTTGTTCAGCATTCTTAACATTGTTTTTACCCTGTCTTAATTGGATGAAGTTTTGATATTAAAGCATAAAGTTAAAAAAAATAGTATATAGATAAATGACTATTAAAATATGTTTTTTAAATATATACTGTTAACATCAGTTTAACAAGTGCAATAAATATATTTTTAGTAAAACCAAAATTTTGAGTCTGTGAAGTGTATTATCTTTAGGGAGCATGACAGCCAGCCTAGTGGGGGAGACAGGCTGATGAACCTCAGTGAGCACTTGGTGAGCGCTCTGACAAGGGTTTCTGCCTAGTGCTGTGGAAGAGCCTGAGGACAGACCATTGTGTGTAGCCCAGGACATCGGGGGACAGTGCTGGAGCAGACCCTGTCCAAGTCAAGTCCACTGTGAATGGAGTTAGGTTGGTGAAAGGTGGGAAGGGCCTAGCAGAGCACATGCAGATGAGGGACTCTGCTATTAAAGGAAGCGTGGGTAACCTGGGGATTTAGCTCAGTGGTTACACCACCTGCCTCTCAAGCGCAGGGACTCGGTGGCCTTTTGTTGCCTTATCTTCACATGCTTCAACGATTATGTGACCAATATCAAGCAAATCAGCTACGGTAGTATCTAGCTAATCAGCTACAAGACAAGTCAGCTACAATCGTATCTAGCAAATCAGTTACAGTAGCATCATACAGTGCAAGTTGGGTGTTAACATACCATGAGAACCAATTATGTGCCTTAACCCTAGAGAAGAAATCCACAATTATACTGTAAATATGAAGACAATCCTAGTATTGACCCACCCACAGCTATTTGAGCTAAATATGACAGCTATATCTCCTCTAATAGTAGAAAAGCATTCAAAAGTGATTTTATAGGGTCAACTACAGTGGTACTTCAGTTCTCAAACACTTTTGTTTGCAAAGAATTTGGGTCACAAACAGAATTGGTTTTGAGTTTGATCCCCAGTACCAAAAAAAAGGAAGCATGGGTAAAATGCAAGGGGTGAGAGGGCAGAAAGACTGCAGGCAGAACTGACCTGGCCAAGAGAAGTTTGAGGGCAGGCACCATACACTGTGCGATCCTGATCAAGAGCACCTGGTGACTCAGGTACCCCTTGGCAAGGCTCACATGCCGGCCAGACTTGTTGCAAAGCTCTAGGGCAGGCTGGATGGAGGACAGATGTAGGAAGCATGGAGACACACAGTCGGGATGAGAGGGCTGCTGGCAAGAAAATAGTGTCTGTTGAAAACTTACACCCTAAGAACGGTTACTCCCCTAAATCTGAGTCGTAGCTATCAATTTGTTTTTTTGGTTTTGCTTCTATTTTTCCCCTTTAGAGCAAACTTAATGATCTTAATAGCAGAGCTGGTGATTCTGGCCCCTCCTTTTGAGATGATAGGCCACGGACTGTTTCTATAAAAACCTGGTGTTTTTAAATCAGCATTATCCATTCCCTAGCAAAACAAACTTTAGAAAACCTTGTTATGCTTTTGTAGACTGCAAGTTTATATCCTAACTAGAAATTCTAAGTTGGTTAGGGAAACTACTACAACAAAAGCCTCATAGCATTCCATTGTGCCAAAGCCTAAGGGATTTTTAAATCAAAATGTTTCAATGTGAAACAGTTGATGGAGGACAGGTGCCCAGGTGGCCCTGCAGTGTGGCGCCTGTTATTGTGGTCTCTGTGGTGTATGGATCCTGGTGCTTAAGTGGTTTGCCTTTGTTCTTACTCTCAACATTCTTCCTTGAGGCTTTTTTTTTTTTTTTTTTGGCACCGGGGATCAAACTCAGGACCTTGCACTTGCCAGGCAGGTGCCGGAACCACTGAGCTAAATCCCGGGCCCATTCCTTGAGGCTTTTGTTGCCTTCTTGGCAAATTGTCATTGATCACCAGCAAGTCCACCAGATGAAGTGAAATTCTTTATACGGTTATGTTAAAAGTGACTTGAAAGCTGAAGTTAGCAGGGAAGGATGCATTGTGCTCTAGCTTTATTTCTCTAATATACCACTAGCATGAGGAATTGCATGGTCACACACTTCATCATCACCTATCTTTTGGGCTGCAAAAAAGACGTGAGGACCTTCTTCAGGGACTTGAGAACGCAGTTACCGCACAGGGCTGCTGTGCCTGCCCTGACTTCCTCTTACTGGACGCCAGGTGGCGCCCCTGGTGGGTGAAGTCTGAAAAACTGAAGGTAAAGCAAGCTTGAGGAGAGAAACCAGCCCACAACTGCACATCAGCCCTAGAAGGGAGAGAGCTGGCCAGGACCTCAGTCCTGTGAGAAGATCCAGAGGTCAAGAAAGTGTGCTTGCCCAGTGAAACAGACTGGTCTCAGGGCACCATCTTCTCCCCACACTGGCCTTCATATGCCACCCTTCACTCTGATGACCAGCATCACAGTCTGATGAAGGGAAAACCCAGCCCACAGTGTGGCTAAACAAGTGTCCTCAACATGAATGTGCTTGCCAAGGCAGGACTGCGTTCTGCTGGTCCTTGAATCACACCGCTCCTCCTTTGCCCAGGTGTAATGCTCCTTGCTCTGGCCAGTCCAGGTAATCTGAAGTCCCTCTAGAACATAGAGTGTCCTTTGCCTTTCCTCAGAGGCCTGAGAGAGGAATGGGCCTTCTAGATTCCTGGTGGTAATTCCTTTTAGATGTAGTGACTGGAGTGTCAACACATTTGTTTTTTGTGACTCTAAATATTTTGAAAAATCAGCTCACCATTTCTAGTCTTAGTTTCTTTAGATGTAATCTGGAAACAATAATTGTGTCCTCTAGATTCCTGGTGAAGGAGAATGAAATGCAATGTGTTTCTCAAGTTCCACAGTTATCTAGCCATTTGCAAAAACAGAAACACTGACACTGTGTACCTCTTGGAAAAGTGGAAGTGTACTTCAAGCTAGAAAACCCTAAGAACCAAATCATTTTTGGATAACAAGCATTCCTTGGAAACCAAATATATGAAAATCTGGATTTACATGAAAGAAACAATTTTTTTCAAATGAGATTCCACATAGGTTGTTTTTAAATGTGTGTGCACAGCTTTAAAATAGCTCTATAAATTCATGTGCATACATACTTATCTACAACCAATGGGTTTTTTTTTGTTTTTGTGTGTGTGTGTGTGTGTGTGTGTGTGTGTGTTTTGTACCGGGGATTGAACTCAGGTCCTTGTGCTTGCACAGCAGGCAGCAAGACCACTGAGCTAAATCCCCAGCCCATACATACTTATCTAAATGGTTTCATTTATAAAGATGAACCAGAATTGACCTTAGTTGCAGTCTTAATACCAAACACATACATGGTCCCTGTGGTGGGATCTGCAGCCAAGAATTCAGCCTCTTGACCTGACGGGAAGCATCCACATCTCTGTGTGCGTAGATCGCTATGGCGCATGTCACAGTTCACACGTGTCTGTCCTGCTTCCTAGCCACACGCAACTATTTTGTTCTCTTCACTGCTTCTTTTCCATGCCATTTATTATATTTAAAATTGAATCTATTCTTCCTTGGTCATTTTGTAGCTTAAACTCAATTTTAAATAATTTTGTCTTTTTCAATTTCTTTGCTGACTTATTGGGACTGGATATTGTTAGTGTTTTGCCTTATGGTTCAGAATTTTTATCAGCTCTGATTGTCATTTTGCATTTACAGATGTTGTCTTCCCTTTTTTGCTCATGTTGGAAAGGTTTGTTTCCCTTGTCTTGCACAAGCAGCCAGGTCTGCAGGAGGGGTAAAAGGGGCTTCTGTGGCCCACTGGGCCAGAGTCAGCATGTTTTGTTGGTGGACAAAATGCAGTTTTTCCAGACATGGCGCTTTGGTAAATGAGATGGGGAGATTGGAGTCTCCTTCAATTCTGTACTTTTCTCTGTAGGACCCTTGCTTCCTTCTTTCACTTTATCACCAAGAAGAGATATCATGTCCCCTTCCAAGAACAGCACCTTCTCCAGACAGCCATCTCCAACTTTGTGACCCTTCAAGCTCCTGCCTCTGGGTGCCCTGGTTGGTCAGCACTCCACATGCCAGTGTCAGACGCACCAAGATTTCCATCGTGCACACTGGGGCCCCTAATTTTCTTCCCTATGTATTGCCACTGCTAAGTCCCTCTTGCTGTCATCTCTTTGCAGTATGCTCTCCACCACCCTCACTTTTTTTTTTTTTCCTGGTATTGGGTACGGGACCCAGGGCCACGTGTGTGCTGGGCACCTACTCTTCCTGCTGACCCACACCCCAGCTTCTTGTGACACGTAGGCCGTGACTGGCTCCAGTGTCAGTGCCACCCCTCTGCTTATGTTTAAGCAGCTGTCTTCTCTGTGGCTCCGTTATGGCACAGGCACAGGCAGTCAGTGACCTTGCTCTTTGGTATGGTTTTGGAAGATCAGGACAGAGATTTAAATTGAGGGAGCAGCCCAGACTCTCAGGAGAGCCAGGAGCCCAGGAGCTTCTCTCCTACACAAGAACACACGGACAGGGCCACCAGGCACTTAGGGAAACTCACATGAAAAGATAAAAGCTAAACTAAAAATAGCTAAATACTGTACCCGTTACAAAGAAGTTTGTTTTTGTGAAAAAAAACTAGAAAACAAGAAAGAGCTCTTGAAAATTATAACCCTTTTTGTAGACATGAAGCTCTTACTGCTTAATTATCTATTATCCCATAGAAAATAGATGTCCCCTAGCAAAAACCAAGATCCACAGTACGTGGGAAAGATCAGACCAGGTTTTAACTATAGACAGGTTGACCACATAGTTGGTTAACAGGAACTCCAGAAAGAGAGCAGAGAATGGAGGTGAGGAGTAAAAAATGAAGAAAATCAAGAGATGCCCCAAACAGCACTGCAGCTGAGAATATGCACACATTACAGCACACTGGGAAACCAGAGCCCTGGGGGTGAGGATATTCTGTAACCTTCCCCATAGAAAAAGCAGGGAACATGTAAAGAATCAGGGAGAGGGACACCTGGTTTCTCAGCATGCACACACAGGAACAACCAATGAGGCAGTGCCTTCAGAATCTGAGGATAGTTAAGTCCTCAACTCAAGTTCCATACTCAGCCAAGTTACCAACTGTGGTAGTAAAATTTAGATACTGGTATGAGAACATTTAGTAGCTACAGGAAAAATTAGAGGCACAATGAGGAAGTAAACCAAGAGAGGACACAAGATCAAGAAAACTGGAGAGCCAACAATGG